GGTTGACGGTCAGGAAGATTTTGCTGTGTATTTGGTGGGATTGGCAGGGAATTATCTACTATGAGCTGCTCCCCTATGGCCAAACTCTTAATTCGGACCTGTACTGTCAACAATTGGACCGTCTGAAGGAAGCAATCGCCCAAAAGCGGCCAGCTTTGGCCAATAGGAGAGGAATTGTGTTCCATCAGGATAACGCCAGGCCACACTCATCGATAGTGACTCGCCAGAAGCTCCGGGAGCTTGGATGGGAGGCTCTTTTGCATCCACCTTATAGTCCGGACCTGGCACCAAGTGATTACCACCTGTTCCTGTCTATGGCGAATTTTTTTGCTGGTGAAAAATTCGCCTCAAAAGAAGCTTGTGAAAATCGACTTTCCCAGTTTTTTGCCAATAGGGAGGAGGGTTTCTATGAGAGAGGCATAATGAAATTACCTTCGAAATGGCAACAAGTTATCAAACAGAACAGTGCATATTTGACCTAAATCGGATCATTGTAACTATGTTAAATAAAGCCTCCAATTTGATACAAAAATAATGGATTACTTTTTACTAGACCTTTATATTACGATATTGTTGGAAAATTAATAAAATCTTATGTCAATATTTTAGCAACTTTACAATAAAACCTTACATTAAAATATTGTTGGAAGATTAATAGAATCTCCTTTCAGAATTGTAGCAATTATCACATTTTTCACATATAATGATATATTATAAAAGACTTATGACGCGGTCCCATGATGCGGAACATATGCGCAATGCGAAATTGGCGGAATGCTCGCGATTGGTTCGAACTGTTTTATGTTCGTTCTGTCTATTTCCATCCGCAAAGTTTTGATTTTATCCGCACTAATTGCACGGAATTGTTTGTGAACCTAAGTGTGCGCATGCGTGCATGCGTGTGTGCGTGCGTGCGTGTACGTGTGTATGTTAAAAACATGCCGAAAGTTCAATAGAGATACGTAAGAATATTATTAAAAACTTTAAATATTAAATAACAAATGGAATATTAATTGATTAATTTTACATTAATATAATCTTATATTGAGTAATTACTATACAAAATATGAGCATGGGAATTTAAAGTTTGAGATTATAATTGTTTATTATTTAAAGTATTTAATAGCCCGCAAATATTAACAAGCAAGTTTTCAGCATTCATATTGTTGGATGTTAATTGTGACACTTTCATAAGTTTTGGAATTCATGAATTGTGACGAGTGTATGCATATATGTGTGATTTTGACCCGCATGAGTTCGTGTTTCTATTGTTCCTTGTAGCGGAAAACGCGGAAGCATAAATCTATGCGTGTCAATGATATATACTGTTTCGATAGATACGACGGAAGAATCTATGAGAAGGATTTTGTGATTGACAAGCATCAGTTGCGCTTCCGCGAGTTCCGCTCCATGAGATAGTAGAAAATACATTTCGGCGGAGCGCAATTAGCGGATTGTCTGCGATTGGATGGACTTCGTTCCGCTAATTCCGCATTGCGTATACGTTCCGCATCATGGGACCGCGCCATCACACAGTGTCCGATGATACGACATACGATATCCAATAGATGAATAGCTTTCTGATAGAGAATACAGTTCTCTATTGGAAAACTGTTCTCCTGTTGGATATCATATATCGTATATCTCTTCACAGCATTGAAAATTATAATAAGATTATAGGGAAGTTACAATCTTATACATTTTAATGAGAATGTTACTGGTATACATTAACCTTATAATATAACTTTACATTATAATATCATCGGAATGT